AGCTTGTCTAGTAGAACACGAATCTTCGGAGTTTGAGGTTTCGGGTTCAAATCCCGCCAATCACAAATGGATAATGCCACGACCTTCTAGGTCTAGTCTGAAGTAATGTGTAAAACAATTCTGGGTAAAAACCAGGTTCAAGAATGTGGAGGTGCGACATAAAAAAATTAAAATAAAAAAGTGGTGTTATTATTGGAAAGTAAATACGGAAAGTAAATACAAGATACATCTAAAAACACTTAAAATATACATTTACGCCCATACTGTTAAATCAAGAGACGGTAAATATGCATAAAAGATGGTAAGTGGTGATCAATTTCGATTGGACACTCCAATCATCATCAGACCCAATAGGCGAATTGCCTTGAAAATGTGAAAGTTTTGTTATATTACAAATAAATAAGTTTTAGTTTTCATAAGCATACTAAGAGTGTTTGAAAGATTTTGAAAAATTAAACAGACCTGTGAATATTACCACAGAGTTAATCTCCAGTGGTTCTGGGCCAGATTCCATTAACTAATGAAACATTAATGTTAAACTATTGGAACTGTTGGTGATTGGAACTCAGTGTGACAAAAACAGTTATACAGGGTGATTGGTACTCAGTGTGACGAAAACAGTTATACAGGGTGATTGGTACTCAGTGTGACGAAAACAGTTATACAGGGTGATTGGTACTCAGTGTGACGAAAACAGTTATACAGGGTGATTGGTACTCAGTGTGACGAAAACAGTTATACAGGGTGATTGGTACTCAGTGTGACGAAAACAGTTATACAGGGTGATTGGTACTCAGTGTGACGAAATCAGTTATACAGGGTGATTGGTACTCAGTGTGACGAAAACAGTTATACAGGGTGATTGGTACTCAGTGTGACGAAAACAGTTATACAGGGTGATTGGTACTCAGTGTGACGAAAACAGTTATACAGGGTGATTGGTACTCAGTGTGACGAAAACAGTTATACAGGGTGATTGGTACTCAGTGTGACGAAAACAGTTATACAGGGTGATTGGTACTCAGTGTGACGAAAACAGTTATACAGGGTGATTGGTACTCAGTGTGACGAAATCAGTTATACAGGGTGATTGGTACTCAGTGTGACGAAAACAGTTATACAGGGTGATTGGTACTCAGTGTGACGAAATCAGTTATACAGGGTGATTGGTACTCAGTGTGACGAAAACAGTTATACAGGGTGATTGGTACTCAGTGTGACGAAAACAGTTATACAGGGTGATTGGTACTCAGTGTGACGAAAACAGTTATACAGGGTGATTGGTACTCAGTGTGACGAAATCAGTTATACAGGGTGATTGGTACTCAGTGTGACGAAAACAGTTATACAGGGTGATTGGTACTCAGTGTGACGAAAACAGTTATACAGGGTGATTGGTACTCAGTGTGACGAAAACAGTTATACAGGGTGATTGGTACTCAGTGTGACGAAATCAGTTATACAGGGTGATTGGTACCCAGTGTGACGAAAACCTCTTGGTATAAGTACAAAGTAAATTAAGTGTGATTATGGTGTTAAGAGGTCCCAAGTCTACATTAAACTTTGAATAAGGTCTTGTTGTGCTTTGCACTTATTTTAAGGTTTCATTCGCACGTTTTCAACGTGTTTTATTTGGTATTTGCAGAAGAATGAGCTTTCACAAAACATGGTAGGGCGGTTTCTTAGCTCACGTCTCTTGAGCTAATGGTCCTAACAGGCTATAAACGACTCTTGAGAGGGGAGGATGAACTCGAGTGGGCATTAACTACACCCTGTATCACTCCTAATCTCTTTTACGTTTATTATTTTATCTCAAAGTATAGTTCGTTTCCAAACGCGTAAAACTTGCAATCCTTTAAACATAAGAGTTGAAGAGAATTTATTGAGTTGAGCTACACAGGACGTTATAATAATACTTTACCAACTAACAATATGGGGGTTTTAAACCAACTGCACCGTTAGTTTTATATCCAACCAAACAGTACAGAAACAGACTCGCTCCAGCTGTTACATAAAAGTTGGAGGTTCAGAGCTACTCTAGTTGAATACTTGTGGTCTCGACCTCATTTAAAACTTGGAAAGAAACTTTATCACTTACAGTCGAGTAAACGTTTTCCCTATAAAACTTGTGAAGTTAACCGCTTATTCTTGATGATTTTGGTCAAATAAATGTCTGGTGGTGGCAGATTACAAACTTGGTAAGCCTAATGTAAAACCACGTGAGGGAATAGAATTGGAATCAAGTTGTAGATTGCGAATTTTTAATTCCTGAGTTCAACGTGGTATAATATTCTAAGTTTATGATGTACAATTAATTGTTTAAGAGCTAGTTGATACTGATAATGATTTTGCAGTCCTTATTTTCAACTAATCTGACTTATCCACCTTCTAACAGTTAATCAAAATTCAACTTCTCTATAATACCACTATGTTTATCACATGCTGACACATGCTTATCATCATGGCCTAGGCCGCGAAGAGTCAAAAATGGCATCGCCGCAATTTCGGTCTACCGAACAACTATTGCATTAGTTTGTATATGGCGTCTGCGCAATGGTTGTGTTAACACGTTTGATATTACTGTTAATCCCATGACAATATGCTGGCCGATACGACGACGTTGCCGTTTGAAAACGCAGCGGTCTTGTACTAGAAGCTATGATATCACTCATATTTATAATTATAAAACAAACAATTTCACAAATCTGTAAAGAGTCAAATGATGTTAGGTCGTGCAACTCATCAGTGTTAACATTATGTGCTGCAATCACATAGTAGTAGGGGGTATGCTAAAAAGTTCTACATAAGGCAGGTAATTGCTATTTCTCTTTTACAGGGGGAACGAGCTGGTCTATTGGTTAGAGCGTGGTACTCCGGTTCCCGTGGTCCCGGGTTCAAATCCCGCCAAATCACTAATGGATTTTATCTAAGTGATAATGCCGTAACCCCTAGGTCTAGCCTGAAGTAATGTGAAAAACAATTCCGGGCTCGTGCGTAGCGTCCTAGGACAAAAAATCTCTTTTACAGGAAATAGTCAACCAAATAATTCCTTCACGCACTAAAAACACTTTGTTTTCATATTAAAAATTAAAAACTTGTAGCTCTAACTATATCAACTCTTCTATAGAAAGATAGATGGACTTATTTTATACTTAAACATCATATATGCAATAGATGTTGTCAGTTAGGAGAGAAAATTAAGGAATCAATAAGTTACAAGCAATCTACAGCAATCCACATACAAGCCGACTATATAAAGTGCTTAGTTATGTTGAACACTATTGGGTTAAGTAATGATAGTGCAATAATATAGTAACCAACCAGTGATAGCCATAATTCCCTGAATGGCCCGAGCAGTCGGCAAACCATAAACTAAACAGTGTACAAGTTACAACCAGACTTTCAGACGATAAGCGTTAGTTGTAACGTTGCGATAAGTTACCCGATTGTGCTCCAAATATAACCTCTGTTTATGGACTGTAAATCTAAAAAGTAAAAAGAAATGCCGTTTAATTAAAACTAGTGGTCGTCCTGTGGTCGAAACTCGACCAAAAATAAAATTAATGTACAGACTTCTCTATTTTCTCCCCACACTGTAAATAAAACATGTGATTGGAATTTCTTCCATTTGTTTTGATTTTCTGTTTACATTTTGTTGTTATTTCGTCACCATCATGGCAACCCATATGGTCCATGTTAAGTTTTTGAAGTTTTCAAATTGATTTTTTGTGCTTATTTGTTAGCCTATTTTAATTTTTAAAGGCATTCTGCACATCTACAGGAAAATATCTTTCCAAAAGTATACGTAGATTTTCCCTGCGATGCGCACGACCTGAGAAAAAAGGTTTTAAAGAAACATGCTTGCCTATTAATATATAGATAGATATTTATATTTTAAAAATTAAAATATCCCAACCTTGGCAAACCTGCTAAACGTATTTCAATTCACCTGATTTGTTTCTCGCTAAAATATTTTCTCCAACATGTCAGATTTGATTCCTAGAGAGAACAAATCGGGTTCAAAGAGTACTTAGGTTTGCTGCTACAGTGGGAATGATAAAGTGTGTCTTTAATGAAATGTAAAAACCTCAGTATGAAGTAATTAGTAGGATAATGAAACCTAAATATGTCCCTTAGTAAGAAACCTCCAGTAGTTTACATATTTTCAATAAAACATACTTGGAAATTTATTTTCAATTTACAGTTTTTTTTTTCTCCGTAACTGTAAGGCGTATACATAATATTAATAACATTTTCAAATACGAACTTTTTGCTAAGCCTAGGAACCAATACGAAAAAGTTAATCGGCCTCTGGTCTAAGTGTTACCTTAGACCTACGGTCATATCTTGTTCAATATAGGAGAAATTCGCTAAATGTTTAACAGTTAAATCGCTGCATAGACTCTCCATGCTTGAAGCAAGCTCTTTCTGTTGTGTCTTTCTTGAACTAATATACCGATCTACCTTACCGACTAGTCAATGATTTTACGTTTCGTAAAAAAGCGTATCAACAACTAATAACACCTAAAGGTTTGTAAATCTTATCACTACAAGCACAAGTGAGTTGACTAAGCTAGTGAATTAACTATCTTTTTATAATTATTTTAATACATGGGTATCAAACGTTTTATTACGTAAAATGTGCTTGGTATTGGATATACGTCTACGTTCACGTATTCAGGTACATTTCCATTTACAACTAAAGTATTCCGCAACAAACACTTAGAAAATTGTCTACACAATTTTAATTCACACGCTAGTTTCCATTTTAAAATCTTCTAAGAACTACAAAATGGCAACTATCACATTTTGTTCAAAATATTCGTGTGATTAGTTGAATATATAAATTTGTAATGCAAAAAACCATACATTTTTTCTGCAGATGTACAATTTAGTGTTCTCGTGTATTATTCATCCAAATGGCTTTGGAGGTATGACGCACATGTCATTATAACAGAACGAGCTGTTCAAACATAGCAAATCATGCAACTATATGCTGCTGTATTACTCATTTAGTTCGGAATCAGTTCGTCGTTTTGTTCGAAAATGTTTGTCGGAGTCGTTGCCATTTTGACAATAGAGGTAACTCTCGTGGCATCTTTTGACTACTGTAAATCGCCTTGCGAAGATTTTTACGGCAGAGTCACGCAACACACCATGTGTACTTACGAGGAAGGAGGTGGAAATGAGTGTAGGAGCTTCAGACGAGGACTGACTGCTGAAGAGAAAATAGCCATTCTAGATCAACACAACCAACTTAGACAAAAGGTAAATCAAAGGTTATTGAAAAACAATTTCAATTTTGTTTAATGAAAATAATGTAAAGATCCGTTTGGTCCTTATCATTACGTTCTGTTCGGTTTCATACTTTACAAACACTTAAAATTACTTTACATTCACTCGGGAGATTTTTGTCTTACTTCAAGAGACTTCCCTTGCTCCTTACTGCGGACTTCCTGATTAGGACGACCGTGACACTAAGTTAAAGTAGAATGGTTCGCTGAAAAATTGACTTTAACTTTGGAATGACGTTAGGTCTCACAAACGAAGCCTCGGTCACACTAGGCCGTTTAGCAGCCCCTACTAACCAGCCGCTAATAATTTTGCCAGCAAGCAGCCTAGTCTGACCCAGAACTAGTGGCTGGTAAATGCCAGCGGGCTGTTTACTAGCCGAAATCAAAAGTCGAACATGTTTAACTTTTTAGCGCTGCCGACCCTCCGCTGGCAGTCACATGACCTCCTCGCTGGTGGCCAGCCAGCCAATGTGAACCCCTAGTAGCTCAAAGCGGCTAGTGAATTAGCATGAGTTTAGATTTTTTGTGTGTTTATGCAATGTTAGTTTCGTTGTAATGTATTTTATATTTCTTTTTGTGAATATTGACCATGTTTGACACCAACAAGTGGTCGGAAAAAGACATTGTAACATGTCTAGATTTATTTCAAAATTATCCTTGCCTGAGGGATGCTTCGTCAGCCACATACATTGACAGGAATACCAAAGACGCAGCTTATAATTAGTCATATCAAAGTCAAAGACTTGAAGAACGAAGATTAAAATCAGCTTTGGTCTTATGAAGGAGAAAAAAGTCTACATTATTTAAATAGAAATAAAGTTTACAAGTTAAAGAAGTCAAAGAAGAGTAGTGCAGGAGCAGGTGACATCTACAAACTAGCGGCTATTTACTGGCGGCTAGTGGTTATCATGTGAACTCTACAAATCCGCTGGCTGCTGGCGATATTTACCATCGGCTGGTTAGTAGCGGCTGCTAAACATCCTAGTGTGACCGAGGCTTTAAAACCTCGTGGTGTTGGAGAGCTCGCAAATGAAATATTAATTTAAAGTCACATCGGTTAAAACGAGTACCTAGGTTTGCTGCTAGAGGTGGGGGGGGGGGGGTTAAAATGTGTTTTAGTCAAATACTGTACTAATAACTTTATTATACGATAAATAGTTTTGCCAAGTTTGATCTAAGTCGGATGAATTTTGCTAGAGTTATCGTGCTAACGAACACATAAGATATAGAATTTGAACTGATGGAGTTTTTTGCAATTGCGACATTAAAACGAAAAAGTAAATCGGTCTCAAGTCCAGGTAATAACTCATTCCCTAAATAGTAAAGTTGCTAAAAGAGTTTATTATTATTTAATGATATAGGCTGAAATAAATAAATGTTCAGAATTTGATCAACATTATAAATAAACAAGTAAAGTAACATGTTTTTTTCCTCCATAAGAAAAATGAGAACTTTAAATATACTTTTTTTCTATAGCCTTTAATTTAACAACATTGCTTCAATGTACAGAATAGATTAATTTTTAAGTGCTACAAAATGGCTGCTATGAGAATTAAGCATTTTAATTATTTAATCAACTGTCATTTTTAAGGTAGCCGTTTCAGTTTAGTTCTTAGAATTAAAAAGGTTTTAACAATTACATAAATCTGCTCTTAACAGTAACTGTAAGAAAAATATTGTTTGACGCGAGTGCAAACTGCAAAGTGCCACTTCACCCACTACACAAATAGTTACACAAATAACTATTTCCTACAGTTATTATAAAGCATATAAAAAATTCATCTTTCATACCATTATATACAACACGTTTTTAGTTTAGGTTAAATCCAAGCGTTGAACGAAAAGGGAAACGCTGGACCATCTGATGGTAGTCGTAGTATCAGTGTTGCCAACTTATTCCCAACCGTACACGGATCACGTGCCTATTAAAATAGGTACGCTGTTTTGTGTTGTTTGGTTGGAATACTGTAGTGCAGAAAAAAAGAGCGCAGCAAAAGTAAGTAAATGCAGCAATTAGCTACTTCCTGTATTATAATCAGTGCTAGGAAAACCACTTTGTCAGATGACTGTAGGCACTAGCATAATATCCACCGTCAGAACACCTATCACGGGAACTATCAAGCTTGTACCGTTAACACCTACTTCCCTGCGTTGTAGCGCAATGTACTATAACAGTCTTTTATTTACGGGATAAAAAAACTAATATCCTATATATTAAGAGGCAAGCATGTTTCTTGAAAATCTTTTTTTCTCAGCTCGTGTGCATCGCAGGGAAACCTACGCATGCGGTTAGAAAGATATTTTCCTGTACATGTGCAAAATTACTTTATAATAAACTCACAAATAATCACAACAATTTATTTAAACAAATTAAATAGCTTTTTGATCAACATTGTACGTGTTATTAAATTTACGGAAAGTAAATGAAAGATACTAACTTATTGGTGTCTTATAACACTTCGCACACATTCACCTATTGGGTCTGATGATGATTGGAGTGTCCAATCGAAATCTATCACCACTTACCATCTTTTTTGTATATTTACCGTCTTGTGAGTAACAGTATAAGCGTGATATGTTTAAGTGTTATAATACGTCTCTTTCATTTACTTTCCGTTAAACAAATTAACATGGGTCTTTTGCGTTGCCATGCCGGTAAGGAAATAACAACGAAATACAAACAGAAAATCAAAACAAATGGAAGACATTCCAATCACATGTTTTGTTTAAATCAAGCTATGAAAGTATAGAAGTCTGTACATTACATATTTTTGGTCGAGTTTTCAACCACTGGACGATCCTCTAGTCTTAATTATTTGACTAAACTTGATCTGATCACGTAGGTAGCCAGTGGAGAGCAGTCCCCACAACCTGCAGCGACCAACATGAATGAGCTCGTTTGGGACGACGAGACAGCGATGATAGCGCAGAGATGGGCAGACCAATGTGAAATACAGACTCCCCACGATGAATGCCGCTCTACCAAGGACAATGTAAAGGTACGTCACCTTATCAATGATTGTTTTGAGATTCGTCTGTGCTGTATATTTAATATTGATACTGCATATTTTGGATAAGAAATAATGTGTAAATGGGATACAATACTGAGGAATTTAACCTTTTGCAGGGAGGTCAGAATGTTGCTCAAGATTGGGCCTGGGGTGCGAAACTCGACCGTTCCTCGATCATACGATCGCAGGTGCAGGGTTGGTTCGACGAAGTCAAACATGTGCACCCCTCTGTGGTTGATAGTCTGGAATTCAATGGCCCTGATCCAATCGGACACTACACTCAAATGGTCTGGGCCGAAACTACACACGTGGGCTGCGGTGTAGTGCACAAGGACGATATAAGAGAGTCTAAGATAAGACTCGTCTGCAACTACAAACCTACAGGAAACTATATGGGAGAGCCTATCTACACCACAGGTAAAACAGCATCTGGCTGTGTTGCGAAGAGCAAGTCGTATATAGGTCTTTGTGCACCCCGGACGAATGGAAACAACCCGCAGTCTGATGCTAATGCTCCAGCTTCCTCGGCGAGTGGTCCTCCGAGTGGTCCTCCGAGTGGTCCTCCGAGTGGTCCTCCGAGTGGTCCTCCGTCAGCACTTGGATCTCCAAAACCACAAACCTCAATTGAAATAACAAAGCCAGATGTAAAAAATGCTCCTCCTAACATTAGTTTTCCTACCTCAGTTTCATTTGGCAGGCAACCTTCTTTTCCATTTGGTAACTCAGGCTCTCCTTTTCCAGCCAATTCAATGAGTGGATCTTTGATGCCCGTCTTTAGACCTCTCAGCCAACAAATCCCACTTGGACTTGGAATGCCAAGTAGAATTTATCCTCCAGTTAATGTTGGTTTTCCTGGACTAGGTATGTCTACATTTTACAGGCCAGTTGGCGATGCTCAAACTAATCCTGCTCCCACCCGTGGTTCTTTTCCTCTCGGTTACCCAAGTGGATTTTTGCCACCCAACTTTGGTAACAATGCTGCCTTAGGCCTAGGTAATTCTCCATCTAACAGTTACAATCAATTACGAGACAGCTTTACCCCATCGTTTGCACGTAACGACAAACCGCTTGGACGACCAGCCACTTCTTCCTTTCAAGTTACAAGGCACACCGTTAAAGGAAATGATTTGGACCAAGAGCATTCTATCACCAGCTATCACTTTTCAAGCTCAAACTTAGACCATGAAACAGATAGTGCAGGAGACTCTACACCTGACGAAGTCAAAAGACTCCATTCCGCGGTAATAAGCCTCTTGAGTTCACAGCGAAGATTTGGTGGTCCAGAGTCCTCCGAGGAACACGATCGGAAGAAATGAACATGTATTGTAATACATGTTAAACTGTTGTTAAAATACACCAATCAATGCACAGTTGTACAATATACTCTCCTTATTATTCCAATTGACACCAAATTAAATCAAATCAAATCAATCTTTATTTTTACAAGTTACAATATATAAATATACAAAAATTAATTATTACATGGGCTTCTGCCTGTGCGTGATAAAACCACCAGAAGCTTCCTGATACGACTATACGCTTCATACCTTTGTAATATTTTATCTTTGGAGTATAATTAAATTTACCATAGGCAGAGTGTGCTGATTTAAATTATTGTTTTTTTATCAAATCTAAGCTACAAGGCGATCCAACACAACAACGTGTTTGAAATAAAAACGCGTATCTCAGTAAAAAAATAAATAAAATAGAATCATAGGTTTTAACATGCTCAAAATACCCATGTTTTTGACTGATGTCTCTGCGGTCAGGTTGACTTGATAGGCGTCAACCTTTCTAGTATATGTTTCAATAATGAAATATTTGTGTGAATTATGTAAATCTGACATCAAAGTTTACCAAGACTCGCATGTACAAAACGGTATAAAGCTAACTGACACATAATTCTGATAAGCTTTTCAGATATACTTATAATATGTAGGCTGTGGCAGTAACTACGATATATTATAGGTAAAATTATAAAATTGCAAACACTTTTAAACCTTAAATTTTAACGGCGTTAAAGATGTTGTTTGGGGTTTAAAGGATACTAAATTTCTAAAACATCTACCAACAGGTAGTCTGTAGATCAGTACGCTCCCAAACACGCACACACACAGACATAAACACACAACACAGACATAATTTCGATAACCACTATTTTGGGTCCATGATGACCCAAAACTGATACATCTACCTCAAACTCGAACTCTAAAGTATATATGGTGAAAAATTAAAACTCAGTATTTATAAAAATATTAGTAGCTTTAACCTTTGTTTGCACATGGTTTATGAACATATAATTATGGAAATATAGATTTCCATGATTTAGCTAGAATTCCAAAGGTATAAATGTTTTAAAACGGACATGAGTTTAAAATTTGCTGCAGGCTTTACCCAAAATTGCTGGTAGTTGAGTAATTATTGTGCTCACCTAGTAATCCTAAGGTCATCGCTTCAATTCTGAGCAAAGTCAGTGACTTTTTGACGGTTCGAAGCCGACCATCTATTATGAGAAGTACAGCGCGCATAATTCTACCTGGTACTAATTAATCCGCCGGTCACTGCGCAGCGCCCCCGGCGTCTGGACACTAGCGCGCCTGCGCAGTGAGAGTGGTTGCGCAACTCGGAGAAAGCAAGATCAAGGGTTTCAGCTGGCCATTTTGCTGAGTTATGACTTTCTCGTAGGACCTTGCGAATCTGCGCATATAAGTGCTAGTAATATCAACACTTGGGAGTTGGTCTTAGCATAGCTATTGGGAATTAGTTTCCGTTACAAATCTACGGACACCTAAGTTCACCACTGCTTATTTGCGGTGCTGTATAGTTGGGTAGTTACGGTGGTTTTCTAGCAATCACCGATTCAAACTTCTGATTCAATACTTCAATTCGTTGGTTTTGTGGTGTGAAACTGGGCCTAATTGTCTTTAACTATTGGGATTTCATGAATTTTCCTTGCTTAATAAATAACTAACTGATCTAGTTCACTAACAAAATGCCAACTCATTCATTCAACAGTAATATTTCACTTTATCTCACCTTAAAAATAATGTTTTTTTTGCGTCGTGTCGTAGAAATCCATCCTAATATATGTTACCATGAATCGAGCTTCGCTAGCTATCCGAGTGCTAGAGTTTCCATAGGCACTGCAGAGGCCACCGGTTCGGGTCTAAGAAAATTCTATAGATTTCTTTATGGATTGAAACTGGACCTAGCTATCGTGGATTATTATGATTTTAGTAAATTTTCTTGGCCGAAGCAACGGCTGATCTTCCTCCTGATTTAAGATCCTCTCACTCTAAACCATTCTTAGGATCACGTCGTACTGATAAATACCAGAAAAGGCAAAATCAATGGTTATTAATTAATGTTTTAGTGGTTAATGGCTGAGTAAATGACTGATTGATATACCAAATGGCTACAATATATCTCAGATAAACCATTACACCAGTGAATAGGCACATATAAAATAGCATTTAAACATTGAAGCAGGTCCCCTCCTTTCAATATAACCCGTTCAAGATTCTCGAGTCAAAGCTGGACACCCTGTATCCTATATAATAAGAATAAACATTTCGGGATCATTAAGATATAGATTATATTTTCTATTTAACGGATTTTTTCATCCATCAAATTACCGTGACCAGTAACCCGCAGTCAAATTCTAGTTATAGAGCATCCACATAACTAGGATGGAATTTTGTGTGTCCTAGCAAATACTTAATCCAACCATATAACATCGTTTGAAAAAGGTGAGAGAAATTTAATCCAAATCTAGTTAGTCATTCACTGGTTGTACCTAATGCTGGGATCCAGTAAAAGACAGATTTTTAAAATAATTTTTGGTTAGTATATTGATATTAAAATAAGTACAGAACCCAAAATTTGGCGCATATATTTAGTTCATAATAAGCTGTAGAAATGTTATTAAAACATTATTACCCTCCCTGTTGCAGAAAATCTAAGTACTCTTTAAAACAAATGTTATTAAAGTTTTTTAGAAATACTTTTAGTGAAAATTCAATGAAACAAATGGAAATTCGATTAGCCTGCAGGTTTGCTGCGGCAGTGGTATGTGGTACTACGATATATTGTGTGACATAAATAACACTAGTAGCTTATTATATGTCCTTTCAATCTGGTTAGGTTTTAAGATGTTGTGTTCCACAGCAGTCAGTATGATAATTGACATCGGCTCAATTTGTCGATGGATCAGTTTAACCACGTCTATTTGTATTCGAAGAGTTACTAAAGCTTTGCCATCAGTCTACGATGTCAACACATCAATAGGCGAAGCAAATACAGAAATATATGTCCATTCTTTCACTTAGCATGATTATGTTTTGCGTATGTACATGTCTACGGCTATAAAATAGTTTCATGGTCATGAACTACAACCTAAGCAAAGCATTTCCATACTAAAATAGAAACTGAAGCAAATTACACAATTACAAATGATTGGAGTGAAACGGAACCTGTTACAACTGAGTCTTCCGGGAGGAATATTAAAGTATGGTGAAAGCACGAGATGTTACAGTGATACCGGTGGCACCTTCATCTTCGATGGACCAGTGTGTCACGTGCGTCGCCACAGGCTCATTGGTCTCTCTCTCTCTCTCTCTCTCTCTCTCCCTCTCTCTCTCTCTCTCTCTCTCTCTCTCTCTCTCTCTCTCTCTCCCTCTCTCTCTCTCTCATCTCTTCCCTCCCCCTGCATCACCATGGAGATGACGTCACAAGATCACTAGTCTCTTAGTGTCAAATAACTACAACCGCAGAGAATAGACCATTAACAATATCACAACATTTGAGGGTTGAAATCAGACTTGGTACATAACCGCGATTAAAATAATTAAATTCATTCATTTATTGGAATGACCCTAGCATAGCTAGAATAATTACAGGAGATATCACATTCCTAGCTAATAAAAAATCTACAGTAGGAAATGAGATTGCAAAAAATTCTTAATATTTCACTATTTAGACATATTATGAATAAAATAGTTGGTATTCTGTAAAGCTGCAATGTGAAATTATCATTATACATTATAGAGATGAGGGGGCCACCTAGGTGTGAGTTACCTAAAATGAGGTAAAGATGATTTTAAAATGGAGTGAGGTTACTTGTGTAGCTTTTTTTGTTGACTAAGCTAGGACTAATTATTAAAAGCCAAATAAAGGCAGTAAAATTACAAACACAACGAGCTAATATTTAACGTAATCGAATAACCTATAGTATTCGAGGTATCGCATTTCAGCAGAGAGATGCAATTCCTGACTTTGAGGTGGTGGGGGAAGGCATCGGGAGATTTTAGGGGACTTTTAGAACAAATTACAGCTAGTTTGATCTACTAGCTTGTTAATAATGTGTTCCAACGTTGCTCATATGTTTTTCTTTCTTTACGGAACTATACGCAGTCCTTAGTTCTAGAGTGCACAAGATAGAAATTATTAATATATGAAGTACTTAAATCAATCATATCTCGGAAATATATCTAGATCATTTAACAATAGTTCTGGACCAGGATCAATAATCAGGCTTAGCATAGATACACGGAGTGTGGGTACTGAATGTGAGGAGATATCTGAGGTAAGAAGGACAACTCTTGGTAAACTGGTAAAGGGACCTGAGGAGACCTGAGGGACCTGGTAAACCTTCCTGAGGAGGAACTAATTGGTAGACTTTTAACTGGCACGCATTTATCAGGTGTTTGAATATTCAAGGTCTCCTAAAAAAAACTGCTCATTTGAGTGTAGAATAATCCCAAAAATTCTGACGAAGTGCTTTGTGGCTTCTTTCAACCCTTTAAAGATAAGAAAAGGGGTGTGTGACATTGTCAAGCATTTAGAAGTTCGGCTTTCCCTCCTCAATAGCATTTTACTAAATAAAAATTAACGATTAAAGGTGTGCATTCTATGATTGCATCCTAATGGGATCCCTGATTTCAGGACCAAGTACTGAGCAAGGGTTGCAGGACTTGATTTCCTTTAAGGAAACCTTTTTTTCCAAAAGTACAGACAGACAGGATTTCAATTTCAAAGGGATTTACGTTAAGGAAAAAGGAAAAACAATAGTTTTAGAACGTGAGCGTACAAGTGAGATGTGAAGGTAATTATAAGGTGCGACATGCGCGTTTCGAATCGTTGAAACCTCAACAATTTCCAAACAATAAAACTACAAATCCCAACATGCTCTTGGTTCTGCCTGGTACAAAGTGGATAACTTTCTTTTCAACGTTAAGAAGATTTATTTACTCCAGAAAACTAAGACCAACCAGTTTCTCGTTTTGAGTAAAAAATTAATCAGTTGTAAACTTTTTATAGCGACAGTAAAAGTTGTGGAGAGTATTGCAGCGTAGACCAAACTGGTTTTAAGA